CCTTAGGCGCAGCACTGCCCTACACTTCCCTCTGGCCCGTGTGAGTTGCTGTACAAAATGCTGCCTTCATTTTGTAAGAACTTTTCTGTGAATCAAGTGCTTTAAAAAAAAAAAAGCCCTCAGTAACAGAATAAAGTACTCTATTTAAAAAAAAAAAATTCCAAATTCTTGGATGCTGTATATCACTGGCAACATAGAGTGAGGCACTGTACTAAAATCAGGTAAAGAAGTGAAAAAATATTGACTTAGTGACCTTCCTGCTTAGCTTCTAAAATACTAATTTTTAGGTACTGCGGACATGATCTTGGAGACCCATGATCAGATTATTATGATCCACAGGATTTCCACTGGCTGAATGGGGAGAGTAGCTATCATAGCAATATGCAAGTTTCCACTGACAGAGATGATGGCTGCACTTGGGTCTGTCTCTTACATGGTGGGGTAGAATTGTACCATTCATTCACTGTTACCCCACTGTGCTCCACTAAACGTTTAGTGGATTAGATCATAAATAAATTGGCTACCTTCATAAAAATACCTGCAGGTAAGTTTATAGGTTCACAATTAATCAGAGTTTATTTTGGTCATGTTTCTGTGAGGCTCCCTCGTTTACAAGACCCACCCGTACACCCAACGTGCCAAGGGAGCTTTTTTGTGCCTCCCTCTTAATTGTGATTCCTAAAGGCCACCAGACATTTGGAAAAACCTCCATAATGAGAGAGAACATCTGACCGATAGTAACTCAGGAAAGTGAAAGAGTAATAGGATGGCTGAAATTGAAAAATTATAATAGAAATACAAAAAGGTAACAAATTTCCCAGAAAACATATCAAATAGCTAAACAGATGTTGAATAGTAAAGGAGAAGTAAGAATATTGGAGTACCAATACAGGCTTCCCATACCGCATACATAGGACTATCAGAAAGAGCAACACTTTGAAGAGAAGCAATGTAGTATGGGAGAAATAATATACGAACAATTTTTAGAATTGTAAGTCACAGTATTTGAAATTGGGTAGGTGCCAGTAAATATGACTTTTTAAAAAGCTACACTAAGGCATATTCTTTTGAATAAAAACAAAAACCACCCATGACAACGAGAAGATTCTAGAAAGCCCCAAGAGAGAAAGAAGTGCTCCTTATGAAAAGACTCAAAACTGAGATGGTCAACATTTCAACTCTGTTCTGAGAGAAATTTATTCCATACTTATATTTCACCTATGTATTTCAACTCCATTTAAAGCATTAAGCTCGAGAATAGAATTAATATTTTTTCAGACATAATTCTTTTTACAAACCTGGTTTGATTCTAGGTGGATTTGTAAATTTGACCATGTTCTTAGAGGCAATTTGGAAGTATCTCCCATATTTAAATACCCTTTGATCATTAATTTTGCCAGTAGGTATTTAAAATCTTCATTTATTAAACAAAGGCTTACCGAAGGTTTGCTCATATGCCAAGCACAGGCTGAGGACCTCAGGGATGGGAGTGAACAGCCCATGGTTCCTTCTTGCGGCGTCTGTGTTACTGCAGCACAGTGAAAGGCATAGTTACGGTTTCTTCAGTATAATTGTGCCTGTATAAAGTGGAGAAATTATGGAAAAGGAATTTCTAACTTTCAGGCAAAGCTAGGAAAAATTAACCATGTCTTTTGGTTTGAAGTAATGGCCAAGAAATAAATGAAAATCAATGTTTCATATAAATATGCTTTAATTCAAGGGAAAAAATTGAAATATTTACAATATAGATTCATGGAATATTTTTAAAACACATAGAAGTTGTTTCTTTTACATAAATCATAAATTTTGGATCATTTACATGAAATGTGTGGTTATAATTTATTTTGATATAGTTTTTTTTTAAATAATTTTATTGGGGGCTCTTACAGCTCTTATCACAACCCATACATAACATCCAATGTGTCAAGCACATTTGTACATATCTTGCCACAATCATTTTCAAAACATTTTCTTTCTACTTCAGCCCTTGGTATCAGCTCATTTCTCTCCTTCCCCTCCTTCCCTCATAAACCCTTGATAATTTATAAAATTTTTTTTTTCATGTTTTACACTAACTGTTGTCTCCCTTCACTCACTTTTCTGTTGTTCATCCCCCTGGGAGGGGGTTATATAGAGATCATTTTGATCGGTTTCCCCCTTCCTCCCCGCACATTCCCCTTACCCTCCTGGTATTACTATTATTGGTCCTGAGGGGGTTACCTGTACTGGATTCCCTGTGTTGGGAGCTCTTATCTCTACCAATGTACATGCTCTGGTCCTGCCAGATTTGTAAGGTAGAATTGGGGTGATGATAGTGGGGGTAGAAAGCATTAAAGTACTAGAGGAAAATTGTATGTTTCATCATTGCTACAATGCACCCTGACTGGCTCATCACCTCCCCATCATTTTAACCTTTTAGTACTATTTAAAGTGTTTTTTTCCCCATGTATAGTATCTTTTTTCTTAGATTAATTTTTTTTCCCTTTAAATAAATGAAAAGACAGTTTTGCTCCATATGCCAGAAAACCCTACAAGAATAAAATGGTAAACAAAATATATTTGCAGAAAGTATAACAGGCACTTTCATATTATCCAAAAAGTTTATACAGATTAAAAGAATACATAACTACCATGAGGTAAGCGTGTAAAAGAGCACACATAGACAATATATAGTAAAGGAAATAATATTATCATGCATATGGGAAATTTTTTCAAAGAAGTTCATAATAAGATCCTACTTTCCTGTTAAATACAAAAATACATTTTATTGCTAATATTCCTAAGAGTTCGTTGAGACAGGCAAATTTACTCTTCTTAAATTTTCTTTCCATTTCAAGATCTAAAGGGTGGTTTAGCCTCTGGTGTTGCACAAATTGTATAAGACCAGTACACCTGGTCTTTATTATAATTCTGAATTTATTGAACATTTTTCTACTACTGTGCTCAGGAACTTCTGTTGTGGCCTGACGGAATGCTCGGTAGTGGTGGTGGGTCTTGGACTGGAGAATGCTGAGTCCAGTCATCATTTGAACCAACTGGTTTTTTTCTCATTCTTTGCTCCACCTGAAGCAAGATCAATAGTTGCATCTGAGATGGCGACTTGCAAGCTTTTAAGACCCCAGTTACTGCTCACCGTACATAGAATGTAGAACATTCTTTGTAGACGACATTATGCCAGTTGACCTAGTTGATCTCCTAACACAGGGGTGTCAAACCGGTGGCCCGCAGGCCACATGCGGCCCCTGAAGTAATTTTTTGTGGCCCACAATGCTCTGAAATAAAATGAAAATAGAAAATATTGTTATGAAGAAAATAGCAGAGGAGATCAAGGCAATACCAGATACACAGTGCCCTCGTTAACCCTTTAACTACTGAAGACGAGGATACACATGGCCCAGTGCCTTTCCTGGGGGCCTGTGGACGTGTATAAATGCACTGACTCGGTTCTGGTGATGTTTGAAAGCGATATGTCTGCCACTCTCAGTGTCACATAATGTAAACAGATCCCAGTAGTGAAAAGGTTAAAAAGAGCACTCTGGATTGTGCTGTTAAGAATCATACCGAGCGCCAGCGCTAGTTAACATTTTTAGAGGGAAGCCATTATGATTGTTCTTCACGTTTGTCAGCTGTCCAACATGTTATGTTTTCATTAGTTACTTCGTTATATTTTTCGGCCACAACATAAGAGGTAAGTGAAAAAATAGGAGGAAAGCACTGGCAAGTTTCGGGTGAAAAAGATTAATTTTAGTTTTATAAATACATTAAATAAAATAAATGTTTAAATAAAAGTAATTATATGGTGTTTTAATTATCCTATCCATAT